TTTTCTGTCATTCCTGGTAGTCTGATTACATTGCCCACTCCTGCAAACCCACCAGGATGTCTGTGTTGCAGGAAGGAGTGATCTCTAGGTGCCAGTAATTCTTGTAATATCTTCAGATTTAGGCTACTCATGTTGGTACAGAGGCACTTCTGAATCTTGCCCCCACAGTGAATGTCTACATCCACCTCATGTTACATCCATCTGAACAAGTTGCTTTTTCTGACTTTCAGTCTTCCTCAACTGCCATTTGAAGCAGTCTCTTATTTTTCAGTTTTCGTGGCTAGCACCTTGGCCTAATAATGATCCAGGTGCATCCCATTTCTCACTTGAAATCATCCTCCATCTCCTGAGCTGTATGCTCCTTACACTGTGCCCCATGTACATGCATGGGGGCATTGATCTCTATGTGCATATAAGTCCTTGCACAAAGTCCTTGCAGCATTCCTCAAGTGCAGGTTTGTTTCCTGGCAGTGAGGTTCAGTCTGGGCTGCACAGCATCCCCGCCACGCTTCCCTACATCCGCAGTACTCGCAGGTACTGGTGCTGCTCCACCACTGCTGCCAACTCCTGCAACCAACCTCTGCTGGCCCAGGATGTTTGCTTTCCTGTCTAGTGCTGCTTTGCTGTACTGCTGCTTTATTTTGTTAGAGCAAGTCGTGAAATAGTTTCCTGTCAACTCAGCTTGGGATGATGGAAAGCTTGAAGCTGAGAAACAACGCAGCACTTAAATTTATGTTTGTTTTGCTGTTTGATTGTTAATTTGGTGTACAAAGTAAATGGAAGTGGAGAGATGGGATTTCTTTCTTTGAAGAGGACATAGTTTACAAACTGCTTTGGTAGCTGAACACTGAAGTCCAGACTAATGCAAGTTTAAGAAGTGGAGAAAAAGTCTACAGTTCAGAGTAATGTCTCTGCTGTCAGGGTTTTGCCTGTAAAACTACACAAACCACAAGACACCATGTTTTCTTGCTGAAGAGATGTATTTTTGCATATTTGAAATGCTAGTTATTTAGAATAAATACACATTATTCAGATTTCATTTTCCTGTGATATCACTATCAGTTTATCACAAACATTACTGAAATCTGTTCAAACAGGAGAGATTTGGGGCTCTCTAAGTGGACACAACTAAGTCAGGCCTCAGTTTGTCCGTTCTTAATTTTGAAGGACTTTGAAAACAATTACATTGCAGTAGAAGAGCCAATGTAGGAGTTTGAAATCTGAGCTACTTTATTGCTGTCATATTTAAAGTGCATATAAAAATAGACTTCATTAGTAATTGAAAACTGGAATATCTGTTTAAGTGTAACACTGCTGCCACAACTTTCTTAAGGGACAAGACAAATAATTTGGAGTGGTGGAATGAATTTACATGGTTCAGAAGGGTAAGGTAGTCTGAAGCCAGTTATTTGTCCCTCCGTAGTTACAGATATGTCAGTGTTTCGGAGCTTTCTCCTCCCTCAGTTTCCCTGGTAATGCTGGTAATTCCAAAGATAATTAGTTGACTTTCGAAGGTGAGGAGTTGAGAACTGGTAGAATTTTGCAGGAGCCCCAAATATTGGTTTGCAATTAAAAATTCTGGGGATTCAACTCCTTTCCTGGAGTCTCTTGCACCTCATTTGTTAATCCCAGTGCTGCAGTGATTCCCCCTCTGCAGTCCTGTGTTTAGTGTGAATTCTATCCCACTGAAGGAGGGATACAGTGTCACAGCTCAATAACAAAAAATGCTGAATCCACTTTATTTTAATTTTCAATTCCTTCCTTCTGCTGTGCTTGGTCACTAGAAGCATTATGAACATTCTGTGCATGTATCTGTTATTTAGCCAGATAGAAAGTTTTATTACAAAATTATCTCCCACACAAAAGTCAGTCTGTTTGGTTCCCCCACAGGTTGTTAGTGTTCATTTATCCCAAATTGTAGAGGATTCTTGACTAATGCTATTCCCAACATAATGTTTGCTTGTAATGCATGATTTGCATTTCTGTTTTGTCTCTTGCAGGAAAGTTCAGACCTGCTTGTTCCTGCTGTTAATTATAACAAATTCTGGCAAGTTTAGGAATCTGAAAAGCCTGTCAGATGTTGGCCTTAAGGGCTAGTGTCCCTGAAGTTTGGATGTAATTTGTGCATAATAAATTGCTTCAATAAGATTTTGTTTCTTAGCTTAATTACATAAGTCTTTTGGGAGTTAAGCTAATGTGAAATTAAGGGTCATGGGACCACCATAAGCCTTTGGAGGTTATGGTGATAAAATCCAGCTGTTTCTTCTCACAATCAACCTCCAATATGTCATCCTTATCCAATGGTGTTCTTATGTGATTGCTGTAACTCTGTAGACTGGGGGAAGAAAAGTTTGGTTAGTTGCATTAAACACTGACATGAATTGGATAATTAAATATTAGTCAGATTACCTGAGTTGGCTGACTGCAGTGTCATCTGCAGATGTCCTGAATACCCAGGCTTTGGATAAAAGGGGTTTGTATCAATGTGTGGGAATCATGACCTTCCCCACGGTAGCACCTGAAGATCATACAGCCCTGAGTGAGGCTGAACTAAGTCAAACTCAAAAGGGAGGGTGAGGTTGTTGGAAAAAGCAGTGGGATTCAGAAAGGTGGGAAATAATGACAAAGTTTAGGACCTTCACATATGGGGATTCAATTTAAGAGTGGTTGAAGAAGACCAAGGTGGGAAGTGGTAAGAATCAGCTGGCTTGGAACTTGGGCCTAAGGCGGAAAGCCAGCATCAACACTCAGATATTTGAGGGGATTTTGTTGTCTAAGTAGAATTGTAGAATTGCTACACTTCAGTTTTGGTGGGAGAAGATGTTTCTTTTTAAATACTTATGTCTTGAGTTTTGATTGGTTTATCGTTTTCCTTAATAATTTATAACTGAGTTTTAAGTAACATCAATAAGGACTTATTTGTTCCTATGCAAAACAGCCCATGTGCTATGAAGCAAAATAAATTAACAGAATGTTTTAAGTATCTTTTAAAGCTGGATCTTCAGCTCTTACTGGATATGTATACCATAGATGCTTTTTATAGGAGCCTAGTACAGAAAAAGACCAGATCATCTGGCTTCCAGGCATTTGTTTTCTAGATACAGTTTTGCATATTGTTAAAATGTTCCACTTAATAGGTAATGCCACTCAAAAGGGGATTTGTACGTCATGAACATTATACGCATTTAAGACATGAATAATACATCTGTTATTTTAAGATATTAATAGAACGCTTTTAGGTGCTCATATAGTCACTGACCTTCATGTAATGGCCTAGATAGTATCCTTAGAGAAGCAGCCCTGCAAAATCCTTTCTTCACATTAAAGCAAGAGAAAAAAATTTATTTTAGATAACATCAATTTCATTGTGGTTAATAAAAGCATTGCACATAACTCTGAAGAAAATTTGTACATGTACCATCATTTTGGACTCTGAGTCCTTGACTTGCCATCTTATACTTAACTGCAGTGTAATAGCTAGGAGAAGGTTCTTCCAGAAACCGCTTGGCAGCAGCTGTGTTTGCTGCTCCATGGCCAAGAGATGGAGACCATCCATCTCTCCAGCTGATGGTGTGGGGCCATGTTGCTCTCTTTACGCTATGGTTCACTGAAGGGCTCTGTGCATGACGTCTGGACAGAACCACACACAGCACCTTACAGATTTCTGCATCCAAGTGCCTCAAGACCTTAGATATCCCTTTATCTCTTCTCCTTCCCTCCCCCTCTGCAAGCACACACACACACATTTGCATGAACAGGCTTTTAAAATTCCTTAAGGCAATTTCTAGTATGTGATAAGGACTGTTGTTACAGCAAAGTCCTTACAAATCAATAATCCCGTAAAGATGAAAAACAAATGGTGGATATCTGCTTTGGCAGACAACAATAAAGATGTACACGCTGTAACAATTTATTTGCACATCCATTCCTCCAGATGCCCCTTACAGTTACAGGTCAAAGTCTTCTGTGGATCTGCACTGCTGTCTGAAAAATGTCAACAACCTAAAGGGACCACCCAGTCTGTGTTACATTTGTTGCTTGTATGTATTGTAGGAAGGCATTTCTGGTCCATTTTCAAAATAGGATGACTATCCAAGTTTCTGAGGATTTCTTTCCTCACATCATGCAAATCTCTGTCCAGGAATACTATGGTTACTGCTGTAACCTCTTGCTACTGATAAATGCAAATGTTACCAATACACATTGCACAGGATTTCACATTTACACCATGAAATACATTACAGTAATCATGCCCAGTATTCTTACCCCTTGTTAGTTGTAAGAAATCCCACAGTGCCATTTGAGTAATAGAGTTTTGTTTGTCCTTAATGCTTGCTTGGTAAGCTTGTCTAGGGATAAATTGAGGAAATAGCGGTGCAGGGGGGGCAGGGGAGAGGCGGTTTGCAATTGGGCTGTCTCAAGCTCTGTGAGACAGAAGAAAAATTAAGGGATACAAAATTAAAAGCAGCATTTTGTTCTGAGTCTTTTTCCCTATTACACTTTTTAATTATAGGTTATTGCTTTAACTGAAGCATACTTTCTCCTGGAGATGCTTTGGAAAATCACTATAATTCCCATTTTGTCATCCAGCAACAAACAAAATTTAGATTTTAAAAAGGACAGGCAAGGAGGATTACTAATTTTAAACAAAATTGCAGGATGGATAACTTTATGACATCAAAGTTACTGCATCCTACACTATTGAGTGAGGAGATTGCTGCTGAGGTAGAGGGCAATATTTTCAAGCACAGCCTTTTACAGTTAGCAAGGTGCAGTTTTGGACAGTTTTTCCATGTTGTACATGATAGTGGTCCACCATTTCAAGTGTGTAGGCCAGATGGTTTCTAAGTTCAGTGAATTGCTCAGGATTTGAACATAAGGAGGGAAGTTTTTTGAGCACTGAAGTTAGGCTTCCAAGGCACTTACAGTCAGATTTTTTTTGGTGTATTCATAACTCAGTGTTTTTGTAACTCAGCCATGTTGTTTTGCTCTCTTCTTAGAGTTTCTTTGTAAGGAATGCCCAAGAGTTCATATTTTTATTGACCGAATTGATCTGAAGGACATTCCAGAAGAACAGATGTATATGAGAAGGTGGCTTCATGAACGTTTTGAAATAAAGGATAAGTGAGTAGAAACATGTAGAACCTTCTGTTTCAAGAGTCTGTCTTATTGCTTTTCTATTAATAAATATACCCATGATTTCTGTGTTACGAGTAGTGCCCGCTGTAGGGCTCTGTAAAGAGGAGTGATGTTGGTACTCCTATTAATCGAATACAATATAATATAACCTTGTGGTTAAAACTTTTGCTCAGGAGGTTGGGATTCCTGAGGTTTTGACCTTCTTTAGATTGAAGAAGTGTGAGTCCATATTCTAGGCAAGACTCATTCATCTGAAAACTCTCCATTCATCTTCTTCATCTGTGCAGGAATGTAAGATGCCTGTGGTAGGCAAGCAAGAAAAAGCAGTGTGATTCTGCCCTCGTAATCAGTGTTAAGTTGGAGTGATAGAGGGCAGGTTTTGATCTAATCTCTTCTGCCAAAATTGTTTACAAATCTTTCCTCCAGACAGTGACTGGATAAAAATACAGTTAACCCCAAAATTCCTACCTTCACTGGGAAAACAAGGTGAAGTAGAAGTTTCATTTGTCCATTTTTGAATTGTGGCAGAAGTAAAGTGCCTGACTTCCTCCAGCATCTCCAGATAAGGTCACTGTGAGTATATGCAGCAGATCTTGGAGGGACCTTGTTCTCCAGAAGGACTTTGTGCCTAAATGTAGGATTTAAGTACTTTTTGAGAGGATTTAAGTATTTTTTGAGAGATGATTGTTTAATTTGCCAGATCTGAAGTCCTGCTTAAGGGAGCTGAATCTGTTTACTTTCTAAATCCTTGAATACTTCGAGTGAGACAGAAATTTCCCTGGTTCTTCAGTTCTGTTGTGTTTTAATATTGTTCTGCCAGTCTCACACTCCATGGAAGTAAAAAATGTGTTCATTTCTCCCGAGAACTTTGAATTCATGTAGAAGTTAACATGACTGTCTGTAAACATGGCACTGTTACTAAAGTGTCTTAGACATTTAGGATCACTACTTTTGAAAAATAGAAAGTCTGAATTTAATTTAAATAGATAAGGAGCTGATACATAAAAGAAAAGGCTGTCCAGTGTCTGTCCCTTTAGTTATCTAGTGAAAGTGAATAAAACTGAATCATCCATGTGTCATTTGAAGCTCCTGTTCACTGGAACATCTTTCCTGGGTCTGAAGCAGTCTGTCGGGCAAATTTAGAGATAGTTAAAACAAAACTATTTAGAGATAGTTAAAACAAAACCTCAGAATTTCCAGATGCATTTATTAGTGTTTTTGAAAACTGGGAGGAAAAACGTTACTATTAAGCCAGTGATGTAGTATCTTGCTCTTGCATGTTTAGCCTCCAAGATATTCAGCGTATTGGATGTTCTTGTTATTTATTAATTTATTTTATGACGATAGTTCTTCCTCCACCTTTGGTGCTCAGTGTATTGTTTTGTCATACAATATTGTACAGTGCTCTGGGCTTTTCTGCTGAAGGCTGCATAAAATCAATTCTTGTCAATTTTTATATTCACTGTTGCAGTTGGTCCACAAGGAAAATATGGCTTTAATGCTTACAAGGGTTCGGGTTGAGTCTTTTGACATGCATCATATTTGTAAGGTGTACTCATTGTTTGAACTTGTTACAGAGGAGCTGCTACGTATTATGAGACCATTTACTAAAAATGTTTGGTTAGAAGCAGTTACTGGATGAAAGTAAGTTTGCTTAAAATGTCTTACTGTCTGACTTTGACCATCTCCTTTTTCTCTGCTTATAGGTTACTAATAGAATTTTATGATGCAAAGGATTCTAAAAGAAGAAATAAGTTCCCTGGGAAAAGTGTTCATTCCAAACTAAGCCTCAAGAAAACTTTGCCATCTTTGCTGTTTTTAGGTGGCCTGACTGCTAGTATGCTTCTGACAGAATCTGGAAGGAAACTATATGTAAAAACATGGATATATGGAACTTTAATTGGCTGCCTGTGGGTTAGCATTAAACCATAAGCAGATGTTAATCTCCAATCAGTGAAATGTGCAGTCTTTTCTTGTACATTGCACCAAATTTTTTCCTGACTTTATAGAAAAAAGTGTAAATAAAGCCTTATTGATCGAATATTGGAAATAATAGATTTTGTGACTTAAGCCTCTGTGTGGTTGGTCTGGGGAAAATAAATATAGATTTTCAAATTTGCTACTGATTTTTGCTGGAATAATGACAGATAAACCGAGTCATATGATAAATTGCTTTCCCCATGAACTAACATCTATCTCTCTCTGCAGATTTGAAAAAGTATGAGTTATGCATAAGGGTGTCTTATGTGGACCTGTGAATGTATTTACAGAGATTAATTTAGGATATATATTTATTCTTCTGATATTCATGTTGAATTTTTGTTACTCTTTGGTGCATTACAGCAGCTCAGTTGCATCTATCCCAGCAGTATCGCAACTAAAATCAAAACTTTCCTTTTTTTTTAATTTTGCTCTTCAGTTTTCACTAAATACTGTGTTCTTTAACAGGGACTGTGTAAGCTGGCAAATTATGAGATGTTACCAGAAGCAGAATAAAATGTTCCTGAGAACTATTGTTCATGGGGAAGAAGCTCTGTTTATCTAGTGCATGATTTTTGATTATATTGCAATATTAGGTGATTATTTTACATATGCAAAATGTTAAATTGTACCGAGCAAACAGCTTATTTTGCGCACCTCACATTTGTGCATAAAAGGAATGTGTGCAGTGTAAGGAAATGTGAAGTTTTTGTTTCTGTCCGGAACCCCTGTAGCCTCCCTTGTGTCTGCATTACCCCTAGCACCACAAGTGTTCAGCTGAGCTCACACTCCTCCATGTGTACGTGCCATAAGCAGAAGTTTCCTGTTACCTCACGATTTTCTGGAAGCAAACCTTGTAATCTGAGAAGTGCACGGAATGACTGTAATGAGGAACCTTCAGGTGTTCCTGGGAAATCTGGAGCGTGTACCTTTCCCACTAACCTGATTTAGCCTGGTGTTTCATAGGTTGGCAGTCATCTCTGTGCTGTAGTATCCCACTGGATTCTGAGTCATTATAGGCCATGCAGACTGCACTTAGGCTGAAGTTATGGGGTTGATGTATATGGTTTGCACAGTAGATAATAGTCAATGAAATGCATATCCTATCAGTATTTCACCTGCTTGAAAATATACTATAAGAAGCAAAATCAACAAATGAAAGTCTGATTCACAAGGCTGATATCTTTGCTGGGGAAAGCCATTTCCTGATTCAAGGGAACAGTCTCTATGTACAGCAGTGGGGTAGGAAAGAAGATGTATTTTATCTTCTTCATTAGGGAATTGGACTCCCTGTATCAAAATTTAAAACCTAGAGAATATTTTTATATCACACTTGCAAGCTTTAAATGTGCATCTCTTTCTAGCTTCAGTACAATTTGTCTTGCTTTAGGGTCCATTGTGAGTTAAACATCTCTTAAAATTATATCGCAGTTTTTCAGATTCCACTATTGCCAGTTAATTAAAGGTTTTACCGTGTGGGGTTGGTTTTATTTTTGTTTTTCGACAGAGCGTTACAGAGGAATTACAATTCCACCTTAAAATCATTCAGTACAACTTTCAGTTTGCAGTTCTGTGTCCTTCCATAATGGATTTTGTCACTGGAGTTATTTATATCAGTGATTGATTCAGGATATGTTGATGAACCATTTTAAAAACAATGACTGGGAACAATGTTGAAAAACAGTATTGTTATGAGGCTGTGAAAAAAAAAAAAAAAGAAAAAAAAAAGCCATTTTATGTAACAGTCAAATGTGCTTACATGTAGCTCTTCCTATTCTCAGCTGACTGTTACCAGTGGGTATAACGAGAAGGCAAAGTTCCTATGTAAGTGTGAGTTTTTTCAGTCGTGGAATGAAATTTTATTCTGACATGGCTAAAATTCTTTGTAACAGCTAAGAATAACATTTAATTATACATCAAAAATAAATGCAAAATGCTTAATTCATTTGTAGGAAAATAACTGCTATTTTGGAGAGCCTAATTACATGAAATATTGGATCTCTCTTGCTGCTTAAGTACCAGGAATATAATTAACACAGTGCAGCAAACAAACAGAATGTTTATTTTGAACGTTATTCTCTATGTTAATCTTTTTTTTTTCCTTACCATTAATTTATAAAGTTTTGAAACTGTAATTTGCTGATGTATTTGGCATTGGGAGTATCATATGCTATTTCTAAATATGCACTGATATTAACTTGAAATATTTCTTCATTAAAATAAGAAGAGCCAATGCTCATTCAACTTTTCTGTCCTGCCTGCTTGTTCAATTTTTTCTGCACTTTCATGTTTATAATTTGGAGCTGTTCAAACAAAGGCTGCAAGTATGGTTTTAAGTCCCCGATGGAAGGACTTGTGTGAGAAGCAGTCAACTGAAAGAAAACAATTTTGTCTATTTTTCCCATGCAGCCAGAAATGTGTTGGAATTGATCTGTGCTTGTTCCAATGCAACACACCGCCAGATCAGTCGAATGGCAATAGCTTTTCACCCTTGAGCACCGGCACCATTTGCTGCTCGTTAATGATGTTCATTAGTGTGTAGGACCAGCTTCTGCCCAGGAATTGGCCTCAGTGGCAATGGGCCTTGGCCTGACAGCACTGGCAGAGTGTGGACAGACCCAGGAGCAGGGAAGAAGTACTACAAAGAAATACCTGAAGCATGTCTTGGTAGCAATGCCACCAAAGTTGTAGTGATGTGTTAAATCTCAGAAGGACCTTTATGTTCAAAAACTGCCTTTGCCAGCTGTATCAGTGCCTCTGATAAGAGCTGTTTCCCTCCCACAGGTACCACTGTTCATATGCACAAGCTGTGTGTAAAATTTGCAAGACCACTAAATGCTAGTTCTACAGTGACATCCTTGTGTTTACAAGGATGAAGGAATTCAGCTAAGCAAACATTAACTTACTTGATGGAGAACACAAAAAGTGAAGTGACAAAACATTTCATGATACTGAAGAAATGACTGAGGAGGACACAAAGGGCTCCACCCAGATGCAGTCCTTTGCTAACTCCTCTGAAGCATTTTGCTGTAATACTTGTTTTTTCTCCTTTCAGTCAAATGTAGATACTTGTAAAACTTCTTTTAGTACTTAAAAGTTGGCCCCTGATTGTTTTGGTTTTTTAGCATGCAGAGAATGCATATACTTACTTCAAGGGAGAGAGAGGTAACTATTTTGTGTTTGCATAATGAAGAGGACCATGACCAGGTTTGGGATTTTTGCCTTCGCATTAAAAGTGATAAAGATACTTTTTCCCATCACCACCTCCAAATAAAAAAACACTTATGACAGAAATTTCAACTATGCAATAGAAAACCAGATAACGGGTTCAAGATCTTGGCACCTACTTTAGAAATGCTTTTCCGTTCTAAATATGGCAACCAGGATTTGGTCCTAACCTGCAGTTCTAGGTTACTTTTTAGCAGAGTGGCTCTGGTGGCAGGGCTTGGAGCAAACACAGTGAGGTTTCTCTTTCATTTTCATGTTCCTGTCTATCCCATCAGTTTGGAGCCTATGGTCCCAGTAAAGTGTGCTGTGCAATTTGCAGAGTATAAGATAAAAGAAGAAATTGTTACTTTAGTTTGTATAATGGCAAAAGTCACACAAGTAAAACACAGAATGTTCAGAGAAGGAAAAGCAATGATAATCTGAAACAGATATTGAAAACATCAGCTCCAGTCAGGCATGACCATTGATTCCAGGGAAAATTTGTTTTCTGTGTGAGGACCAGTTTCCCTGTCAGCATGGTGAATATTTCTCTCACCTGTCCAGTTTCAGTCCCAGATCTGCAGCCTTACCTTGGGCTAACTGTGGTCTCTTTTTCCTAATGAGTCCTTCACCACTTTTCAGACCGATGCAAGTCTTGGGTTTCCTTAATTCTTCTGGAACCAAAGAATTTCCCTATTTGTTTTCAGCCTGATAAACTGCTCACAGACCACTGCCACCCACGTCCTTCTAGTATGTTCTCCTTTAGAGGACTGGCATTTGGTGGGCAGATGCCAGTGGAAAGGCAGTGGTCTGTTGCTGGCCAGCTGGAAGGAGGTGTTGAGCTCTGAACCACTTGGACTACTGGAACACATCCCTGCCTGTGGCAGGTGGCTTGGGACTAGATGGTCTTTAAGGTCCCTTCCAACCAAACTACTTACTCTGTGAAGTCTATATTGGACATCTGAGATGGCTCTCCCTTCCTCCTGCCTCTGCCAGAGCCTGCTTCCTTCATTGACTGGCACTTGACATGGCTTTTGTGTAAAGAGCAGACAATCCCCTGAAAAACAGTGAGTTGTTCCTGGGTCATATTTGTGAAGTGAAAGCTCTGTTAGTTAGGCTTGCACAAACTATTCCACAGCCTTTTACGTTCTGTGGGAACTCTGTTTTTGAAGGACATTTTGATGCCTTTGTTTGTATTCCCTGTATGACTAATTCGAACCAAAGCCATTTCAACCTGTTTGCCTAACAGGCCCAGAAACCTAGAGAGGATGCAGATGTTCAGGGGCAGAAGTTGCTGCCAGTTTTCTGGCTGTGCAGTGACAGATTTGCTGGGCAGAACTGCTGGGCCCCCCACAAAACCTCTGTGGAAAACAGGTCCTCAAATCCCCGTCCCACCATCACGGCCTGTGAGAGGCATCACCATGGGCTGCCAGTACAAACCATTTCAGAGTGGCAGGTCCTAACACCCACTTGGCTTGTTTGCAAGTATCCAGGATGTGCTGTTCTTTCTGTAGGGTTAGCTGAGCTTCATTGGTGCTTTGAAGCATGGATGAGCAACAAGTTGCAGAATTATGTGTACTCTTTAGGGCATCAAAGCCCAGTCACTGGGATGAGAAGGAGATACAGTCTCAACAACTCCTGACCAAAGATATTTTACTTTTCCCATCATTCCATGCCCTCAGTGCTACTTTTCACCTGGCTAGGTTGGAAAAGATTAGAAGACCTATAGGACCAGCATGACTACATGATGCCAAAGAAATTGGATGGGTATGTGGATGTCTGCATTCAGCTTTGTTCCTAGGGCATTTCTGAACTGCCCTAGGAACAAGGTGGAACCAGAGATGGTGCACGGCT